CATACCATACCATACCAATTTATTTATAGAGCACTTAAAACAGCAACAAGGCCAACCAAAGTGCTGTACAAAAGAAAACAAACATGCACAGCGGACAGGAAAACATAAAATAGAAATACAGATACAAATAGCAGCAGAAGCTAACTAAAATGGCCAACAGAGTAGAGAACAGACCGGACCAAAACAAATCACACCATGTTAAAGGCAAGCGAATAGAAGTGGGTCTTCAAGCGAGACTTAAAGACTGAGAGTGTGGGAGCCTGCCGGACACTCAGTGGCAACTCATTCCACATCTGTCTGCAGATGTAAGTCTTTCTGACGCTGTAAAGCAACAGTTTTGATGCGTTGCTGTGTTAGAGGAGCACACAAGCTTCTTTTATGTGAGCGTTCAGAAAGCCGAGGTGACCTTGAGTTACTGGAAGCTGCCGTTGGATTCCTTCCCTGTGCCCAGAGGTTTATAATGCAGAGCTTTGTCAAAAGCAGCTGTGGAGAAACAAGGTTCTGCTCCCACAGTGTGGTGTCACTCTTCAGGGCAGGAGGCTCCAAAGAGAAGAAACTATGGAAAACGAGTAACAGCAGTCACGTTTAAAGTCTTTTGGAAAGCGTGTAAACAAAGAGAATAGCTGCCATTAACAGTCGAGTCACTCTCCCTGACAGCTCTGCAATTAGCCTGAAATTGTTCTGATTCAAAAGGCTGATCACAAAGGAGCTCATGTTCAAAGGAGAACGAAAGCATGGTTTAAACACAAAGCCAGTTCTCCATTGCAGACTTTTGTGCACAGTGTCTGATAAAGCAGTTATTTCAGCAGAGTGTATTTAAACTCTGGCATTTTGTTGACAGATATGTTTATTTACCCGCAGAGCCCCAGCTCTGAAACTCCTTCTCCAACCTTTTAAAAGGCTAAATGTTATTTCTCAGCCTGACTTTATCCTTTTCCAGTATAAATTTAAATCAATACTTTCCCTTCCTAAGCTGACCACCGCTGGTATTGAATGAACCAAGAATAGAGACAGAGGCAGACAATTTTCTTTTTCTTTTCTCTGCTCAGTAGGAAAGGCGTCCATTAAACCATATCCTCCTTCCTCCCCTGGTCTGAAGCCCATGTGCCCTTCCGTTAATGGGCTCTCTTCATGTGTTATTCTCTGTGAAGCTGACTTTCATCCTGCGCGTAATGGAGGCTGAGACCCATCGTTGGTTAAGTGAAAGAGGAGGCTGGAAAGACAGACGCTCACATGAATCGTTATGGTTAGGGAAATTGCCTGTTGGTGCTGCAGCTCAAAAAATAAGAATATGGTGGGAAAAGTTCAATTTTTTGTTGTCAATCATTTCAGAAATGAAACTCGTAGATTTATTACACATAGAGAGAAATATTTCAAACCATTGTTTCTTGTGATTTTGATGATTATGGCTTACCAGTAAAGAAGAACCCAAATTCAGTGTCAGAAAATTAGCATATTGTGATAAAGCTCCACAGTGGAAACTCATGTACCAGTACATGAGCTACATATGTCTCAGTCCTCAAGTCGAGCCACTCCTGAACCAGAGACAATGTCAGAAGTGTCTTACCTGACTGAGGAGACAAAGAAATGCACACTTGTCCTCTTGTCAGATTAAAGTAAAGTTTCGAGTCTTTTGTAAATCAAAGTCCCAGAGTCTGGAGGAAGAGTGGAGAGGCCCAGAAGCCATGTTGCTTGAAGTCCAGTGTGAAGTTTCCACATTCAATGATGATTTGGGGTCCTCTGCTGGTGCTGGTCCACTGTGTTTTGTGTAGTCCTCAGTCCAGGTGAGATACTTCTGATGTTGTCTCTGGATGTGGCTTGACTTGAGGAATGTGACATTTGTAGCCTGCGTCTAGAATTTGTCTGTACATCGTGCAAAGTGTGCATGACTGTCCAATATGGAACTCTATCGCAGTATTGTAATTTTCCGAGACACTGAGTTTTGGTTTTTCATTATTTGTAAGCCATAATAATCAAATCACAAGAAATAAAGGCTTGAAATGTTTCATTCTCTGTGTAATAAATCATTTCAAAAGTCTTTGAAATATGAATAAGTTCAGCAAAAATCTATCAGTCTCTATTTAAACATTAAAATAATTCCTGGAATATTTCAGACTTACAAAAAGTTTTTTTTTTAAATATTCTATTACGATTTTTTGGGGGGGTTTTACTGTGGAGAAGGAACATGGTGGAAGGTCTGAATGCAGAGCAGAAAGCCTGCTGGTGTCACGTTCACTGCTGCGTCCAGCTGTAAAATGTGTTTTGAATGTCACTCAGTATCTGGCAAAGGGCCCAGTGTCTCTGAGTGGAGGTGTCACCTTCACTGATAACCTGATCACAGCCTGAGGGTTTAAGTGTTACCTCACTCATTCCTTGAAGTTTCCACATTTAGCTCTACGACGGCCAAAACACAGAAACCAAAATCAAACCAGTAACTCCTGAGCATGTCTGTGGAGAACTAAGTAGAACAGATTTCTCCCCTTAGAGAAGCACTCGGTTCAGGTTAGGGCTGTGACTGACTGAATAGAGACTATTGGAAAATTGTAATCTCTTCTGGTGTTAGATTAGGGATTAATATGCATTGTCTTGTTTTAGTCAGATTTCCCAAGTTTTATGAAATATCATCTGAGGCATCACACCAAAGCAGAACCTGTACTTGGGATCAGGGCAGAAATGTAATATAAATACCTACATACATCTATATATGCATGTATATACAGTACAATATACACACACTCACATATATACTGTGTACAGACAGACAGACAGACAGACAGACAGACAGACAGACAGACAGACAGATAGACAGATAGACAGACAGATAGATAGATAGATAGATAGATAGATAGATAGATAGATAGATAGA